GGTGAAAGCTATCTCATTCCCAAGAATGGCTCAAACTAAGTCGTGACAGACGTTTCAAAAAGTTTGTACCACAGTAGATGAAGAATAAGGGCAAAAGAACATAAAGAGCAAAAGAAGTACAATTTCTATCTCTTTCACACTGAAAAGTTGTTTGAAGTTCTTATGTCCTTTGGAGCTCTCGAGTTGCCTGACCGATTAAAAACCTTTTCCAGGTGCTGAAAACAATTCCTGCTACTGTCAGTGTCACAGGAGGATGGGTCACGGCACAGGCTATTGTGGAACACTGCTTGATATTATTCAAGATTAGATTGCTAATTAAGAATTAGACTAGTCCCCAGAAGGGTAAAAAAAAAAGATCCATTGCTGAATCTGAAAGAGTACGGTCCAGAGACGAGCAAAGCTGTCCAATTGAATGAAGCATAGTGCATCTTTCATTAAGTGTTGTCAGGGCGCACGCCTTTCATGCGCCGTGCAGGTAATGAATTTGAAGAATGATCAGCCTCATGTATCTCGGTTTTGTGAAGGGCTAGCGGTCATTTTTTTTGAGATATACATAAATGATTCATGTCGGAAGTGTAAGTCTATAACATAAAGAAAGGAATTTCAGGTTTGACGCGATTGTATTAAAGAGGACGAGTCTGCATAGGAAACGAAGAACACTCTCTTTGCAAGCACCTTCTTCATTTTTTCTGTTGCCTGGAAGTGGCGGTACATCCAGTGTTTTTGCCATGTGCTTTGGTTTCTTCTGCTCTGGATTTGCAATTTATATATAAAGTGTAAAAACAAAGGTTTCAAGGCCGTATAGGAGGCTTTAGTCTCATGTGCCTCCTGTAAAATACCAGTGCCAACTGCTGGACGATCCATAAACAACTGATGGAAGGTACCTTTTTGGAGGGGAGTCAGGAAGTGTTGACCACCTTGCAAAATATTAGGTAAAAGTGTAAAACCAAAAATCGCCAAGGGAAAACATTTGAAGGAACTATGTATTTATGAGTTCAAACAGCCAATCAACAGTAAGTGTGTGCTGACCAAAATATATTGTGAGTTCAGACAGTACAAACATGGAGGTTTCCTCCCAGGAACAAATCTATTTTTAATAGCGCTTTTGATGTCTGATGAAAGAAAATGAATGGAATAAGCTGTGTAGCCCCACATTAAGTTAATGTAAGCATGGGCCATGAATTAGCATGAGTGACCCCTGCTCTTGTATTTTAGGACATCAAACAAAGACTTTTATGCAATCATTTCTTAAAGAAAGATAGCTCCAGGCAATGTGGCCACAGGCAGCATATATAGAGAACCAAAAGCATGGTACATCACTAATTAAAGAAGCAGCAGGCAATAAATATAACCAAAAGCCTGGAACATTACTAATTAATTAGATACATAATCTGAAATATCCTAGTACAATATGGTAGTATGTTTGGGCCATGTTCAGTTGCTCTGTTTGAATTCATCAGTTAGATCAGCTCTTTATAGCAGCTCAGTACCCACATACCTTGGTGGCCATGTTCAGTTGCTCTTTACATTTAGTGCAAATGTAAAAAACAATATCCATTTTTTTTTTTAAAACTACACAATTAGACAATGCCTGAATATTTCTTTTCTGGCGGAAAATTGAAATAGCTAACAACTGATTAATTGCTAGGTTTGGTTATGTAAATGATGCTTTATGAGCTGTAGCTGTAGGAATGGCAACCAGTATTGGCGCATCAGTAGGCGAGGTCATTGACAGAACAACAATTTTGTTCGGAACAGATTGAAAACTGCATTTGTTGATATAGTGTGTGTTTTTCAGAACTAATAGTGTGATCACACTACACTTTTCAACATCAAAGAAGCATTATGCGGCACACACATCGTGCACCGAACACAAAGTTGATGAGGAGGAAAATTATTAAGAAAAGGAAAACTTCAAACTATACATGGATTATTTAACCAATTAACCCAGGCTTTATACTTAAATTATTTTACTTTGTGGAGACAGGAAAACAGAAATTTGTGGCAGTATTAAATATATTTCGGCAGCTCAGTGTTATACGAGGACAATCCATGGTATTATCTAAAACCTACCCATGTAGCTAATGCGGAAAGGTCAAGATATTATTACTTCTATATGGAGTTTGAACTAACAGTTGCTATTACTTAGAAGTGACACTATAGTAACTGCATTCGCAAACTGAGATGGAAAGAGTGCTAAGACCTGCAGCAGAGAAATAAAGTGAAACTTCTAAGATGGGGGTTCAGTTGAGGTTCTCACTTAATCTTGTCGCCGACATTTTTTAATCCTCACTGACCTGCACCATGCAGCAAAAGTGCTTTCATGAAACCTATGGTGTAATTTGACTGATATGATCTCAAACGATGTAGGTTACCCATACATACAAACATAAAAAAGAACCATGGAACCTACTGAAAATGCTTATAGCAAACATTTTTGGCAATTCAGAGAACCTCCCATCATTGTCTACCTTCTCTAAGATTACTGAGACAGTCAGTAGTGGAACTGACACATATATATGGGCATAAACCACACAGGAAGAGAAGAGGCCATTGTAGAAGCATGTGCCTGTGAACAGTGGAAACATAAGAAAAGGGCGAAATATGTGAAATATTATCCTCGTTTCTTTACATTAGAAGAGATGGCATCATATATGAAATGTACAAAACTATGGGGCATATATAGGAAGGAAGTTTGGTGAGAAGTTACAACAAATTGAACTAAACATGATAAAAAAGGGGCCAAGCCATAGTGAACAAAGCAGTGTGCAACTTGGCGCCAAGAAGAGTCGTTATTCCACGAGTGCCGCCAACGTGTTCTTTCTTTTGCTAAAAAAATATTAGGATGAAAAACATCAGAATAATTTGGATCCCTCCTATATAGGTCCTAGCTTTTTTCCCGTGGATCCTATAAGTGCTAGCTTCTTTTTTGAGGAGAACCTATAGGTCCTAGCTGAGTCGAGAGCCGCTAAGAGAAACTCCAGCCGGGACACCCAACTCAGCGCCCCTATTTTTGATTTGGGTGCCTCTCCTATTTTTGTTGGCCTAATTTTTTGCTTTTACTTCAACAACAGCACTCAAATTTGAGCCCCCAAATCTATTTCGATAGACAATGACAAATTGGGCCCACTAGTCATTCTCTCTTTCTTCTTCTTCCTCTACCTAATGGGCGACACAGATCATGTCGACACCGGGAAACAATCGAGCCACCTCCCATGGGGCGAGGTCGGCCCCGGCCGCACTAGCCCTCGTCGGTGCTCCCGTTGTGGCCCTCCTTAGAGCTTCGGTGCTGTGAGTAGGTCGGTGTGGCACAAGCGGATGACCTGGGCTGCACCCGCGTGGCGGAGGAGGCGGATGGCCGAGCATGAGGCCACTGGCACAACGTCGGCACGCGCGCCACCGCCTCCATGAACGAGGCATGAGAGCTTGGAGAGTCGCAATGCCTCCACGACTGTAAGTGAAGCTATGAGCGGCGTATCTCGTCGAAATCCGAGCCTCTAGGGGGCCACGAGGGCCCTGCGCCGCCGCGTCCACTGGAGGGGAGGGGCTGTGCCAGGGATCGGTTGCGTGGGAGGGAAGGGCAGGAGGAGATTTGGGGGCTTGGATATGAGCCAACAAAAATGGGGTCTGACGAGGGGAGAATTTGGGTGCCTAGCCAAATTTTGGGGCCATGTTGGAGTTGCTCTTGAGCGGTGAGCGCTGATATATCTGTCTGTCTAGAGAAAGAAGAAGCTGCATTTATTTTTTTGAGCAGCAGAAGAAACTGCCTGCTTTGCGACTAAACCGGTATTGTGGGCCTTTATTTATGGGCCGGCACATCCAGCAGCATATGGGCCTTAAGCCTGTGTGGTTGTGTCACGCTTTGTATTGCCGAGTGCCGCCGACTGTGACTTGTCGTGAACAACTGAATTGTGATCTAAAAAAAAAGGAAAAAACTGTATCGTGATCTATTTCGGGCGTCTGCTCTCTGCAAGTTCTGGTTTCAGCAGCTGTCTGTGAAATCGTGTCCTACAGCAAGACGAGTCTGGAGAGTATGCGAGATCCGGTTCCGGCGGCCGTCTGCGATCTTCGAGGTCGAGGTCGTGGTCGTGGTCGTGGTCATGGCAATGGCAATACAGTAATAATAAGGCAAGTAGAAACAGCCGGTACGTACTGCAGTATGAAGTGTCGTTTGCGAGAATGCACCAATTTGCAGCCGATCGACACAACACCGTGCGGCCATCAGACATCAGGTAATCTTTCTACTCATCGACTACTTACATTTAAATTATTGTTTGTTTAATTTATTTGGTTGATTAATTTGTGAAGTAGTGGAAGATAGGCAAAGTTTAGTTGCCTAGGTCACTTATTAGACGTAATTCAAGCTTACTCCTTACATATGGATACATCGTCCAGTTACCTATCATACATTTTCATTTAGGCCTCGTTTTGTTGCAGCTGAACCAATCCAGAGGGCCCAGGGGTACAGTACAGCAGTAGACCGGCCATCACGCCGCAGGCATGAAGATCTCGTCTTGATGGCGTCGTGAGACCCAGCACCGCAGCCGTCGTGCCCGCTTCAGCACCTCCCTCAACGTCACCGGCTTCTCCTTCTTCAGGCCCAGCTTGCTCTCCAGGATCTTCCTGCCACCGGGGTAGGTGCACCACACCCAGAACAACTCCTCGACGACGAGCCTAATTAGTCACCGTTGAAAAACTGCCGTAAAGGTATCACCGTTGAAAAAAGATAAAAAATACAATTAATCTCGATACTTCACGATATACTTCCGATACGGTACTTAGGAAGTATCGATGATGCATGGTGACATAGCAGTATAAATTCTGGGATGAACAAGCTTGTGTCGCCGAACATTCTGATCGAACCAAGTCGTCTAAACACACACAACAAGCAGTAGAGAGAGAGAACAAGAATCATATCGCCATGGCTGGTGCTGCTTCGGTAGTGTCGTCGGTGGTGGTGGTCGCAGGGGCTGGAGGTGTCGAGGCTGGGCCTGGGCTGCATGGGCATGTCCTTCGCCTACGGCCCGCCCAAGCCCGAGGCGGACATGGTGAAGCTCATCCACCACGCCGTCGCCGCCGGCGTCACCCTGCTCGACACCTCCGACTTCTACGGGCCACACACCAACGAGCTCCTCCTGGGCAAGGCGCTGCAGGCCGACGGGGTCAGGGAGAAGGTGCAGCTGGCCACCAAGTTCGGCGTCTCGTTCGGCGACGGCCAGACGGAGGTCCACGCACTACGCCAATAAGGCTATGTTGGGGGCGGCTTAAGAGCATCTATATAGAGGCGGCTGCGCCAGCCGCTCCCTCAGGGGTGAAAACGTCCTTTGCCGAGATCCTATATTTTTGCCTACAAATAGCGACCTCAGAACTAATAGTGTGATCACACTACGCTAATCAATTGCCTACTAATATAATGCATAAATATTTGAAATGAAATATAAAATGGTTAATATATACCATCACAAAGAAATAGTCTAAAAAAACTACCTTTCATGCCACCCAAAATCCAATTTCATTAAAAAAATAAAAAAAACAAAAACCTAGATCTAAAACTAGATCTCATGCATTTGCTTTAATCAAACTAGGGTGTAATCTAGGGTCTAAAATCAAGCAAAATCGACTAATGAAGATTGTAAGCTCATTTCTCTACTTAATTTACACTAATAGCTTCAAATCTAGGGTCTAATTTGCTACATACAAAGCTCAAGCACCATGGATGAGAAAGAAAACCAATAATCAAATTACTCACTAACCAACCATTAAAACTTCAATTAAAGAGTTGGAATAGCATTTTCTTACCTTCTACAACCTCCCCACCAAAGAAATTGAGATCAAAACATCTCCCTTAGTAGAGCAATTTTTGGGAGGAGCCCAAGGCCTCCTAACCTTTTTTTTCTCGGGTTAGAGTAAGTGACCCGAGGAGAAAGAAGGTGATGGCTGCTACGTATACTGTACACATTTGTAGGGACGACTGGTGATTGAGCCGTCCCTAAAAATTCAACTGTAGGGGCGGCTCAATCACCAGGCCGCCCTTACAAATGACCCCCATTTGTAGGAGCGGCTAGAGACATCAGTCGCCTCTACTGTGCCATTTATAGGGACGGCTAGTGTCCAGCGCACAGAGTGTGGCCTGACAGCGCCACTGTAGGGGCGGCTAAAGAGCCAGCCGCCCTTACAGTGAAAAGGGCCGCGTCCCTACAAATCTTTTTTCATGCAGTGACGGCGACCCGGCGTACGTCCGGGCAGCGTGCGAGGCCAGCCTCCGCCGGCTCGGCGTCGACTGCATCGATCTCTACTACCAACACCGGGTCGACAACACTGTACCCATTGAAGTCACGGTGTGTATTTGTGTATACTCTCCTCCTGTCTAATTTCGTTCGTATTTTACTAAACTTATTATTACTTTTGCATGCATTGTTTGTTTACATAGGTGTCTGAACTCAAGAAGCTGGTTGAAGAAGGGAAGATAAAATACATAGGTTTATCTGAAGCATCTGCTTCAACAATCAGAAGAGCTCACGCGGTTCATCCTATCACCGCAGTGCAGATCGAGTGGTCATTATGTGCCAGAGATGTGGAAGAAGAGATCATCCCAACTTGCAGGCATTTTCACTTTTATCACTCTTTGTTTTAAATTATAAGTTGCTTTGACTTTTTTGTTACTATGCAACTAGACATAATAATATGTCTAGATGCATTGTCAAAATGAATGAAACAAAAAAAACAAAGTGACTTATAATTTGCAACGGAAAGAAAGTAGTAATAAGCTTATTTTCCTGATTCATTTATAACGTTATTACCCCTGGTCCCGTCATCATCAGAGAGCTTGGAATCGGGATCGTGGCTTACAGTCCACTGGGTAGAGGATTCTTGTCTGGTGGGGCAAAGCTGATTGACTCGCTATCAGACTTTGATGTCAGGAAGACTCAGGTGCTTTGCTATATCCATATATATGCAACTTTATTTGCTTGTAAATTCTCCTTTTGAGCTAGAAAATAATTTGTTTGTATTCTGATTACAAGCCAACTAATCATAATTTCCAATTTATTTATATTTTGATTTACAAATCACATAAGACTTGGAGATGTTTCATATAAAATATTATAAATTTATCTAAAGTACTCCAAGTTCTATGTGATTTGTAAATTTACACAATTTATTATTATAGGGTATTGATATAATTTGAAATTAATCACTAGTTCCCTGGTATGTCTACCATAGAGGAAACGTCTTTCATGATTGCTAAAACATATAAATATATCTATCACTATGTATGCATGCATATTTCATCTGTACGATGGCACAACATATATTTTTACTTTTAGTTAGCCTTTTCTATATAACAACAGGGATGGTAGTTTAGATGTAGCTTGTGGGATGTTTCAGTTTACTTTTAATAATGCAATTTAAGGGTTATTTAGATTATCAATCAAAATGGCAGGGAGGGTAATTTATATGCAAATTTAGTCGTTACTTTAGAGTTTAGACTTTTCTCATAATGTCAAAGGTGTGTAATTAATTATGCACGATTTTAAGTGGTTAAATGGAAAAGGCCGGTAATTTTCTTAGGAAACAAAGTAGATCGTGTTGCTCTTATATTATATAGAGAGATTATAGTCTAATATAGAGATATTATAGTCTAATGTGATGGCCTAATCATTCTGACATTTTGAGAACCTTTAAGACATCTTTTTTTCTACTAGTATGTCTCATGAGAATAAGTTAGACACCTCTAATTAGTAATGGTAATATGTGTGGTCAGTTTCATCTTTTCATTGTTTTTGCAGTATTTCCCTAGATTTGACTCGGATAATCTTGACAAAAATGCCACAATATTTGAGCGTGTTAATGCAATGGCAACAAGAAAAGGATGTACGCCGTCACAACTTGCATTGGCTTGGCTTTGCCATAAAGGCAGTGATGTTTGTCCCATACCAGGCACAACAAAAGTCGAGAATTTCAACCAAAATATCGGAGCATTATCTGTGAAGCTCACACCGGAGGAAATGAAGGAACTTGAGTCATACGCTGCTGCGAATGATGTCCACGGAGACCGATATCTTCTAATGAACACCACCTGGAAGTATACTGAGACTCCTCCATTGTCTTCATGGAAATCTGAGTAGCCTGATGCCAAATTTTTGGTGTCGTCAGATACAAGCAATTTCTGATATCTTCAGCTTTGCCTCATGCAATGGTTCCAACTACTTATCTGGCACTCTTTGGTAGTACCATGCTCTTAAGAAATAAGATGTTTCTACCCCCAATCCACTTTTTTTTAGTAAAACACTTGGTGATGCAAATTGATGGTTTCTTGTTATTGTGTTGGACTCTTTATTCTCTATCCCTTCATATCCACATGTACTTCTATGTAAACACACCATGAGATTAATGGAAAACTGAATTGAGTTAATCCCCATGTACTTGAGATTTTGGAGCGGGCCGGCATGGTAGATTGCAAGCCCTGTTCTACTCCAGTCGATATGAATGCCAAGCTCTCAGCTGAAGGGCTTCCTGTGGCAGACGCCACGGACTACCGTGCTCTTGCAAGCGCTCTACAATACCTCACTTTTACCCATCCGGACATCTCCTATATATGCAGTACAATAGATATGTCTTTATATGCATGATCCTCGAGAGCCTCATCTGGCGTTGCTTAAGCACGTTCTTCGCTACATCAAAGGCACTTTGGACTATGGTTTGCAGCTTCTTCGTTCATCTAATCATGACTTAGTTGCATACTCAGATGCTGACTGGGCCGGTTGTCTCAACACTCGACGATCCACCTCTGGGTATGCCGTTTTCATGGGTGACAATTTGATTTCTTGGTCTTCCAAACGGCAACAAATTGTGTCTCGTTATAGTGCCGAGGCCGAATATCATGTTGTTGCTAATGTTGTTGCCGAGGTCACTTGGCTTCGCCAGTTGCTTCAGGAACTCCATTTTTGTCCACGGCGTTCCGTTTGGTATTTTGTGATAATGTCAATGCTGTTTATCTCCCAACTAATACGGTACAGCATCAGCGTACCAAGCATGTTGAGATCAACTTGCATTTTGTTCGGGACAAAGTAGCAACAGGTGAAATACGAGTTCTTCATGTGCGTTCGTCCTCCCAGTTGATGTCTTCACCAAGGGACTGTCTACATCCATCTTTGAAGAATTTCGATCCAGTTTGAATGTCTCCATTCCTAGATGATGTCAACGTTCCAACTGAAGGGGATGTTAGTGTAGTCAGTTTCTTGTTATTGTGTTAGACTCTTTATTCTCTATCCCTTCATATCCCCATGTACTTCTATATAAAGTATAAACACACTATGAGATTAATGGAAAACCGAGTTGAGTGAATTCTCCAATACTGATGAACTGATTTACAATGACAAGACAAAAGATTCACAAAATTTCAGCAGTGGAAGAAAAAAAAACGACGATAGATGGATCCTTCTAGTCATTGACGGAGCTTCCGGCGGCGACGGTTTTCTTGGGCGGCTGCTGCTGGATGACAAGGATGGAGACCTTGGACGCGAACTCCGCGGAGGCGAGCATGTCCCCCAACACGCCCAGCTCCGGGAACTCGCTCCACTCCGACAGCCCGCTGGTGAGCGCCGTCGACCCCACCAGGTCACCTTCGCCGTCGCCGCCTTGGCGCCCCACGATGAGCAGGTCGAACTTCTCGCTCATGGCGCGCACCACGGACGCCGTGCCCTCCGCGTCCTCCACCGTCTTCTCCACGTACACCACGCGCTCGTTGTCCCTGTGCCTGCTCCAAAACTCCTGCAGCAGTTCCTCGTCCCTGGCCTCGTCGCGGCCGCCCATGCCCACCCAGTTCCGGAGCTTGAACCGCACCACCGTCAGCGACATGGTCCCGGCCTCGGCCATCCGCGCCGCGTACGCCAGCGCCTCGCGGTCGTCGGCGCCGCCCAGGAAGTAGAGCGCCGCGCGCTGGAGCAGGCTGTTGGCGGCGGTGGCGCACGTCGACCCGGACGCGAGGCCGTGGTCCACGAGGATGGCGACGGAGCAGGGCGCGTACTGCAGCACGCTCCGGTTGATGGAGCGGATGGCGTTGTTCGCCGTGCTCCGTGCCCCGTCGGAGGACTTGTGGAACGGGAGCAGGATGAGGTTGGCCTTCCGGCTGTGCGCCAGCGAGCACACGTCGTGGTGCATCGAGCTGAAGGGCGCCTGCGCCACGTACGGGCTCACCGTCACCGCCCCCGGCGCTGCCTGCTGCTCGAAGTACCGGAACGCGTTCACGATGCGGTCCGACGGCGTCGGGTTGTTGGACGACGACGACCTGATGCTCTTCCGGTGGGGCTTTAGAACGGAGGCGGCGCGGCCCACGAGCTCCGTGAGGTGGAGCACGATGAGCGACATGGGCGAGTCGCGGGACGAGCCCGACGCCTCCAGCAGGTCGATCAGCGGCGCCGCGTGGTCCTCGCTGTAGAGGCAGGTGAGCACGCGGAGGTCGGCGCTGAGGCGGGCGTGCTCCAGCGACCGCCGCTTGGCCCGCGCGAACTGCCCCGACGGGTCGTACAGCAGCTTGATCAGCGGCGTGGACACGGCGGTGATGAGCACCATGGACATGGTGAGCGTCGAGTAGTGCTCCGCGGTGGCCTTCATGGTGTCGCCCCAGTTGTTGATGGCGGCCACCTCCACGATGCCCCGGATGTTGAGCATGAGCGCCAGCACGACGGCGTCACGGAACGGCATCGTGAAGAAGAGCCCCGCGGCGACGCAGCCGACGAGCTTCCCGGAGACGCAGAGCGCCACGAACAGCTCCAGCGCGCACCACTTCTCCGACGCCTCCTCCTTGGTGAACTCAGCGAGGTCGGTGCGGTAGCCGGAGAGCGCCATGTAGACGGGGAGGAAGAGCGCGATGAAGAAGGAGTCGAGGCGCTCCGTCATGGTGGCGCCGATGGGCATGCCGCCGGGGAGCGCCAGCCCCAGCATCAGCGGCCCGATCATGTATTTTGAACCCGATGGCGTCCGTCACCAGCGCCGACAGCAGCGCGGCGATGACCACCACCACGAAGGATCCTCGAGAGGCGCGCCCCGTCGGGGTGCGCTTGTACGCGATGTACCGGCCGGCGGGGCGCGCGACGAAGGCGACGAAGAGCACGAACGCGACGAAGGAAGCCAGGATCTTGGCCGTGAACACCGGCGACCTGTTGTCGCCGATGAGGATGACCGCGGCGGTGCAGGCGCGGATGAACCACGAGGTGACGTCGGTGATGAGCGACGCCGTGAGCGCGATGCGGCTGAGGTCGGTGTTGAGGAGGTCCAGATCGGAGAGCGCGTCGGCGATGACGGGGAACGAGGAGAGGAGAGGCGGACGGCGAGCTCGTTGATGAGCGATGAGCCCTTGAGGTCCTCGGGCAGCGTGGGCTGGAGCGCGTGGAAAACGGGCAGGGTGACGGCGAGCGGGACGACGGCGCCCATGATGCCGACGGCGATGGCGCGGCCGCTGGGGCGGCGGAGGAGGCTGAGGTCGGTCTTGACGCCCATGGAGAAGAGGAAGAGGATGAGCGCCACCAGGGACACGCTCTCGAGGATGTACGTGCCGCGCTCCGAGAAGAGCACGTCGCGGAAGGACGCGCTCCGGCCGAGCACGGAGGGCCCCAGGAAGATGCCGACGAGCATGTGGGTGACGAAGCGGGACTGGCCGAGGCGGCGGAGGACGAGGTGCGCGGCCGCGGAGAGGACCAGGATCACGGAGACCTGGACGAGGAGGAGCGGCAGGGAGAAGCGCAGCGGCTGGTCGCCCAGGAACATGCCCTGCGAGTTCACAAGGTTGTTGTCGTAGCATGCTGCCGCCAGCGGCTTCACAGTCGGCTCCAGCGCCTTCGACGACAGGTTCGCCACCGCCGTCATCTCTCCGGCAGCTTCTCTGTTGGAATTGGATGCTAATTAAGTGGTGATCTTGTCAGCTACTACCAAGACTGCGGCATTGCATTGGTTGCTGCAGTTTGCTTGGAATTGGATCGAACCCGCTCTTCTTGTGTTTCTGGGCAATGAGCGGCATCAATTCAGTGTGGCTGTGAGACACTTGTTTCTTTTTGGAACAATTGGCTGTGAGACACTGAAGGCCAATGCACTCATGGCAGAGAAGGCGCTTTTGATTTGGGCTATTTTTAGGTGTGGATGAGAGCAACAATAGACGGAGACATAGGAATTGAAACGCCGGGCAAAATATTGGTCCAAAAATAGAGAGCTGTAACATTTGAAAAGAACCAATTTAAACTGGATTGAATTTTATGGCACGAGTCTGAAGATATGGGATGATGCAGCTTGATGTTGGGTAACATCAATATCAATGGCTCATCCGTCCCCAGGCTCGTAAATGGACGTGGTCGGAGATGGAACATGCCGGCGGACGACGATGAGACGTGCTTGGGTCCTTGGCGTCGCGCATGTCGTAAAATATACAGATTCTATCCTACACAAGGAAAAGAGAAGGAGGAATCCTAATCCTAGTCCGTTTGTTACGTGGACTCTTACCAAAACTTTAGGTCTTGACAGAACTATATATACGTGGGAGCTATATGTTGTAATCATCAATATTCAAAGAAATAAAGAATAGTGTCCCTATCTTGTGTCTATTTGTTCTACTTTTTCCATCTACTGTGTTGATCATGAAAGACGGAGAGGGAAAGGTCCAAACCGCTGGCGACATGTTTTATAACACGTTATCAGCACGAAAAGCTCTACGTCGACATCGCCGTTGAAGCCGCACCGCCGCCGATCTTCGACGCCGACGCTCATACCGTCGTCTTGCCGCGACTATTTCGACAACGTCGGCATCCCCGAGGTTGTTAGCGGAACGGATCTGCTACCTCTACCTGTAACTTATCTGCACTGCATCGACCGCATCGTCGTCATCAAGCAGGCAGATCTACGACAATGCCAAACGCCCTACGTGGTATGTATCTACTAACCACTGCCCTACGCGGCATGTGAGGTAGATCGTATCCCTGTGCAAGGTATGAAAGAGTCGCATGTGACATAATAGCTTTTGTCTCCTACCATCAAGTTAAGTAATCGTTCATGTCCTAATATTGTACACGTAGTACATACATGTTTGTACATGCAGTACATACAGACATGAATAGTACATGCTTTACGAATTGTATCTAGGATTAAAAAGAAACAAAACAGGAGTACGTATGGACTTGTCTTGTGGCTGAAAATGTTGCGTTGCATCCTGTACAAGTGCATGAGACCATGGCTAGCGCCTTGCAGCTCGCATGCTGCATCGCCAAGATTACCGTACGTGCCGAATCACGACTACGAACGAGCATCACCATTGGCTAGCACGCCAACGCACTCACCCGGGCATTTGCCTGTGCTCTGCTAGTAGGTCCAGGTGACCAGCCGACTCGCAGTCGAACACAACAGCCAGCAGCAGCAGTGCGCGCACACGCAGACACAAAAAAAAAAAAAAAAAGGACGCAATTTTTTTCTTGTGTGTTTATTGCCATGAAGAGCACATGAGCTTTCTTTTCTAGTTTTGTATGAGTCCGATACCAGCACGTAGCTAGCCATGCAAAGTAAGATTGTGGAGCCATAATCCTACTTTAATACGGTCTGAACGCCGACACGCAACCATGGCTATCTCTGGCAAACGGCCTGCATGCTTTCTTGTCGTCTACGGTCCCGCAGGCTTTGCGCGATCCAAATTGGGAATTGAACACGCCGTGAACCAAAGTTGCTCTCTCTCACGGCTTGCAAGCCACTACTGCTTCTGTGTTGATCGCATTAAAATCCGAGATATCAGAAGAAAAAAAAACAGAAAATAGGTCTCTTTAAATCTGAAGTTTATATATAAGCCTATGATTTTAGCAGAATCTAAGTATATAAGTAATATATTCCTACAGAATAGTTCCTAATTTTCTGATTTTAAGGTGTTTATGAATGAAAACCCCTCGGAATTTCAGTTATATAACTGTTTTTTCTGAATAATTAACCCTATACCTTCTGTTTACACATATTTACTATTTATTCTTGTAGTACCTGCATGTATAAGAGATTGTATGCAGCATTAATATGCAATTTAGTTGCCATTGTGGTAGTACAACTCATTATGAATTGTTATGAATTTTGTACCGTGTAATTGTAAGAATAAAATCCTGAATGATTACACTAGAAACATGATATAAGGTATATGAGCTCTCTAAATCTTGCAGACCTTAAACTTATCACCTTTGAGAGGCTCATATTTAATAAATTTTTTGGATCAATGAATGCTTGGTATTAATTCTGAAGATTTGTATATACCATAATCCCAAAAAATGCTACTCCCTCCATCCCAAATTGTAAGTCATTCCAAGAATCTTGGAGAGTCAAAGTTTTTTAAGTTTGACCAAATTTATATAACAAAATAATAATATTTATCATACCAAGTAAGTATCATTAGATTCTTCATTAGTTATATTTTCATATTATACCTATTTGATGTCATCAATCTTTGTGTTTCTCTCTATAATTTTAGTCAAACTTGAAAAAGTTTGACTCTCCAAGATTCTTGGAATGACTTACAATTTGGGATGGAGGGAGTAGTATGCTTCTAAGAATATTTTTGAATAACCGTCCATTACCTTTTTGCACTTGACTACTTGTTTACATGTAGTAAACTTATTATATGTACATGGTCCAAGTTATGTTAATATGCACGCCTTAAAAGAAAGGAATATCCTGGAATTACTCTGAAGAATTATTTGTTATGGTCAATGTTAAATCCATGTAGGATATTTTGCTACCATTGAAGTGTAGTAAACTCGGGATATATATTTTCTGATTACTCTCTTGAATGAGTATATGGCCGAGACAAGTAACAAATGCATTGTGGACTCACTACATGAGTAAAATCCCAAATTATGATTACAAAATATCATATTGCATTGAAAGTTGAATTTTCAAGCTTGTATGCCTATAAATTGGGGTATAATAATGCTGCTCTATAAATAATAGCTTGAAGCTTTATATTAAATGTCTAGAAGACAAGATGGTAAAAAAAGATTTTACCAATGTATATTCTTGAAGAAATAATGCCTCTTGTGTATTGAATATCCAAGCGCAATGTAATACACGAAGTATTTGAATTTATCATCAGAAATTACTCAAATAGAAGTTGAGTTGGAATTTTTCGGTAACTTTATAAACCAGGATATTGTCAGTTGCAATAACTTTGAATATGTGGCTTGTATATGTTACACCCCTTGAAGGCTTGTGATTATACCATAACTATTGAATATAAAGCATGAAGCTATCACTTGTCAAAGTATAGAAGTTAAGACATTCGAGAATAGATATTATTTAGAACATTTAAAGTCTCTTGTGAAGAAGAACTTAAATCATGTGCTCATAGATTTGTTGTCTTTTAAATTCATATCCCGAAGTATTGATAGCAGTGGTGGTGGTGGTGCATTAAGATTTAATTCCTGTTGAATTAAGTGGATTATATAAACTCATAGAAGAGTTATGGTTACTTTATTAGCTTGAAGACTAATATGAAATATTTAATATTTTTAGTTGCAATTCTTACATGCAGTAATATTTATTAACTTCCCATGGAATAAATTAGATTTATATGTTTCACATATAAACAATTGATTATTTTGCCTATCTAAATAAGTTTTGCATTAATTTTATCTACAAAGAAGCCTCAATTAACCATGAAGGTTATAGTTCTTTGTGCACTACTATCATGTTGGTAGAAGAAAAACTGTATTTCCTATAAGCACATGAACAATTGGACTATATTGTCATATTAACTGATCTTGGAAGAATCAATTTAGCCAAGAAATAGTATAACCATAAGACTAAGTATTTAATACTTTAACTCGAAAACTAGATGTTTACGTCCTACCCTAAATATATTGTTGTACACTAAATAGTACACTAGATATGTGAATCTCATGCCAAAGCCAATGTATACGAGAAGTATGATTGGATTCTATGAAACATTAAAAATGATTATTCATAGATCATGCATGAAACATATTACTACTTGAAGTAACTATTGGCATGAAAAGGGAGAGGAATTTTTGGGTAAAGGCATAAGAAAATGTGGGTAATATGTATTTAATAGGCATAGTTTTTTTAAATCTATCTTGAAGTGCATGTATTAGGACTTGAAGTTCTGCTCGCGTCCCTACTAGCTGAGTTAACTTTCTCTACATTGCACTAATTGCAAGTAGATACCAACATTCCACATTACACATGCATGTGTATCGCTATGTTGTTCTCTCGTTGAGCTATAACTATCTCCATTCTTGTATGAATATTAGCATAGCAGCTATAGTTGTAGCTAGTAGCTACCTTTACACTTCCCTCATTATTAAATTGGCTAGCTAGCACGCTATGTCAATATAGTTCTCGTTGAACTAAAATAATTTGCTTTCAATGCATCGTATGCATAAGCAATAGATTGGTCTAGGGACAAGCAGCCTAAGATCAGGGAGAGTGAGTTAATATGAAATTAACTTAAGAGAGATTAACCTAATTGATGGGATGAATAATTGTAAAATTAAGATGGTGGATAACACACTTAAGATGATTTAGGATTTATGAAGAAAAGGCATTTGGGGAATTTTGCATTAATGGCAATTAGAAAATTCTAGAATAAATTATTCCATGTGAATTTTAATGTTGCGTATTTTCTACATTTGAAGTATATGGTCTATTTTTAATTATGTATGAGTAATTGGATCATTTTCTTTTGGCTAAATAATAAAGAAGCTAGATAATGAAATAGTTTTCTAAACTATGATATGTGCAAATCAGGGGGAGAACATCCCAGAGTTTGAAGAATGCAGAACATTCTTAAAGATGCACTTTATGTATTCTAGTTCGCTGCATTTAATAAATAGTAA